ATGCTAATAGAATTTAGAGTTATTGTTCTTAGATATTAAGTTTCAAAGATCTAATAATGAACTGCAAAACTTCTTTTACAGTTAAAGGCATAAAATCTTTTTCTTTTTTAAGATATTAACAAAGCAAGCTTTGTTACCGTAATTTTTCATTTGACTAGATATATAAAAAATAACTAAAAACAAGATATTTTCACTGATCCCAATGAGGATTGCCTATTGAAAAAAAGTACAACTTTGAAAATATCTACTATACTTTCCTTGTCATAATGATAACAATAATAATAACAATAGTGAGACAGTCACAGTGAGACATTTGGATCCTGAGGCAGGAAAAATAATGGACATGGTTTCTATCATTACCTTAAATATGTTTTTTAAAATGCTTATCTACTCTTAAGATCAGGGCTGGTATTGCAAGCCAAGCCTCAATAATGTATACTTATCCCTCTATAATCTTGAAAAAGTAACTTCTATCTGACTGTGTGTGTTTGTGAGAGTGTGAATGTGTGAAAAGGATACTGAGCTAGGCAAACATGGGTTTAAGGCCTAATGCATTACCCACTGTCTTGAGAGCAAGTTGTTTGACATCTCTGAATCTCAGTTTCCTTATCTGTGAAATAAACATGGTAATCCTTGCATCTCACTGGGTTCTTGTGAGAATTTAAAAAATACAATACATATAATATTTGTAGCATACCTCCTGGCATATTAATAAGCACTTTAAGTGTGTCTGTCATACCCATTCACATCCTATTATTCAATCTAACATCTTGCAGATTGTCACGGGGCAGATCAGGCAAAAGAGAATGGTCAATATCCAAAATTCAGCTCCAGACCTTAAAAGGTACTCAAAGGTCACATGCACATGCAGAAGCATTTCTATGCACAAATATCAACACATAAGTCCTGATACTCTATTATGCAATATACATTACAGAAAAACACAGGAGTAAAACCATTGTTATTCCAATAAAGGATTTGCAGAGCCACAGAGAATTAGCAAATGGAAATTTTTTTTTTTTTTAGAACACCAAATAAAGGTAGGGAAACTCCTGAACTTGAGCCTCAGGCTATACAATGGAGGCACTGGGCTGTATATTTCTAAGAGGTTTCTATCTCCAAAATTCCATGATTCTAACAAAGTGGGTTTAATACCACTTTACTGATTTTGAACCTAGTAAATTACTGCACTCTTTACAAAAAGCCATACAACCATTATGAACTATATACTGTAATAGTAAGGCTATTTTAAAACATACACACACACACACAGACAATTAAATAACTCTTTTCAACAAATACCTTTAAGGGGAGACCAATTTTTTTTCATGCAATAACCATGAATTTGCACTGGTCCAGACGGAAATCAATGCAGGATGCGGACCATTTGAGTTTCCTCTGTGATACAGCACTACCCATTGGATTCATTTGTTTTCCCACTGAATTGACTAAATTGACGTGTCACTTTGGTGTCCTGTGGATAAAGATTAACTAACTTGTACGAAGATCAAGAAGTGCTTTTCCTCTTTCAAAAATGACCACGACAGGGAGGTGGTGCATTTCGCTACTGCTCTAAGTTGTTCAAACACCCATTCACTTGGCACTCTAACAAATGCTGAACACCTAAGTAAAACTAAACAGTTACAGGGGGAAGAACTCTCAGCCTTTCAACTGAGGGAGGAAGATGTAGTATCCGTCACAGACTCACTGTAAATACACGTAGCAGATGTGACCAGGGTTGTTCTTGAGTATAGATAATTTTAGTGACCAACTTAAAAACTACTTTTTAAAAAGATGCTAAAGCTGGCATATTTATCTTTTGCTTATAAAAGACTCAAAGGTAAGCAAATAAACAGTATTTTTGTTACATTAGAAAATTAAGCCCCTGTTAACAAATAAATTATAGACTCTAGGTGCATTTCTTTTTCTTGTGGTAACTTTGCCATCCTACACTTTAATGAGAATAATTTCCCAATTATCCAGGCATGTGGATACTTTTAGTTTGTTTTAAGATCAATGATATAACGGATATTAAATCCCTTTGTATAAGTTACCATATGGGTTACAACTATTTCTTAAAAATAATTCCAGAGCCCACCAATCTCCCTGTTAAGGTCATCGTGGCTCTGAACTATCATGGCTGAATTGTTTTAGTGCTCTCTGCTGAACACCTGCAAACATCAAACAAAAACTGCTGGTCCTTTCCTGGGTTGACAAAAGCCTTTCATGTGAAAAATGCTCCCTGGGAATGTCAGGCTGTAGCTCAGGTTACATTCCATTCTCCCTAGCAGCCTCCCCATTTCTTAAGGTGGTAGGAAAAACCATGTTTGTGAAATGAAAGATTAAAGGGAATATGGCCACACTTTATTTTCATTCTCACGTTGCAAATCACGGCGGAGCATCCTGCATTAATGGAATCAAAAGCTATTGGGAACTTTAAGCATGAAACATTGTCATGCCTCACTGAAAAAATATGGCTGGTTTTTCAAATATGAACAGTTTACTTATAGCTTAGATCTTTTTTTCCTGGACCCAAGTTTCAAAGCTACCCATGAAAGTGACATCTGAGTCCACTCAGGACAATGGATATGAACCTGAAGTAAATTTAGAAAATTATTTCTCTGTCCAAAGTGACCTAGAGTTCATCCTTCCAGTTAAAGGCCAGTTTTCCTGATATTTTATTTGTTATGCTTTAAAAAGACTTTATCTTTGTGGATAAATTATTTATCTTTTACCTTATTGAGTTGAATTATAAGCCATTTACTTCACTAACAGCCCTGTGTTCAAATAGTTCTTGAATAGATGAGAAAAACCAACACCCCAAGCTGGACCCTATATTTTATAGTCAACCATCATACCGCACTGGATAAATAACTTACATGTTCAATCCAGAACCCCAAACAAAATAGCCACTGGCACTTTTTACCTTCAAAAGTAAACATTTAGGCCTGAAAACTGCAACTGTGGTACAATGTACCTGAAAGTTCAGCACCTTAAAAATAATCACAGCATCTTCATTAGATGTATCACAACATCTCACTAAGAATGAGGTCTCTGCCCAGATTCATGTATACGTATATACATGTCTGTATACATATAAACACACACACAGAGTTGTCCTAAGAAATGTTTAAGTCTCCATACATGCTCACTTACCAAAATGCACAATATTAATACATATTCATACTTATCCAGCCTGTACTCCCTGTGAACACTCAAACATCCTATCAAGGATTCTATCTAAATGTGAACATATAAAAGGTTCCAAACACACAGCTGTCTTTTTAAATGTAATACAATTTCGTGCTTCTAAATCACCTCACTTTATAAGCCATACCTAAACTGGCATTCTTAAGTTACTCCAAATGTGTCAGGTTTTATAAAGTGCAAAAAGAATATCTTGCACTGATGTTGAAAGCAGTCTATTTCTGTACTTTCCTGACATAATCTACTTCTAGATTTAAACTAAATACACATTTTCTTCAGCAAAATCATGAATTACTGTCAGAGATAAGGTTAGTTGCTGTTTGGGTACTGCCTAACATGAAAAACTAGTATGCCTGAGAGACACTTGTATGCATCTTTACTTCAAAGTTGTATAAAAAATACAGAAATTTCCAAGAAATAATAATAATGCAAAAAGAATAAGTTTCTAAATGGAAAATATAACAGGGTCCAGGGCAGTGAAACACAAACATATGGTCAACAGTACTTTAGTAAAAGTGAACCCAAAAAAACAAAAGATAAAATATGACTATAGGAGGCGTATCTTGTATTTTATAAATCAAATTATAGAGACTGAAATTCCCTTAGACTTACGGGGCCAGCTAGAAGGTGTAATTTATTTGGAAATGAGCAACTTTTAGAGGTCATTCATTTTATAGAAACATACCAAGTACACAAATCACAAAGGTGAACAGATTTCTCATTGCTGTGAAAGTTAAGAGATGTGAAATTACATTCAATAGTTAACAGACAATTCCACTAGCATCTCACAGCTAAAAAATGTCAACATTTACCAGTCTGACTTAAGAATAGCACTCTGTCTAATGTGCTGTTATGTACCACTGCTAGAACTAAAATACTGCAGCTGTTTAACCAGCATAAATGGACTTAAGCCTTGAACCTAAAAAACAGCAGGCAACAATGTATGCCTCCTTCTGATATGAAATTCAGTGGACAAAATAACAAATACATTTTAAACAAATACGTTTTCAGTTTTCACTTTTAATAAAAGACCTTCAGAGAGTCCCCTATTAAAACTCCTCCTTAGATGCCAGATAATCAATGCGCACCCAGTTTCCTTTGTGAATAGCGCTAGCGTCTTTTTAAAGCATCACCCAAAGACCTTTTATCTAGAAAAATGTGAAGTTCTTACCAATTTGCAACTTTAAATATAGCAAAAATTCATTGCACATATAAATACATAGGGGAAAGAAACAGCTAAGGCATCAGAAAAGATATTTTAAAAATACATGAATTCATATTTAGCTCTCAGATTAGCAAGAGGCTCTCTATTTACAGCTATGGTTCACTACGCAGCATTCATCTGCAAAATGAAGGACTCATTTCTTTAAAAGGGTTAATTATACATACTACCTAATAAAACCTATTATTTACAAGCGATTTTTTCCTTTTATATGAAAGTTAGATTTCTGCCTGTATTTTCAAATAGGAAACATTACTGTATTTCCCTCATTTTAATATTGGCCTTATCTTCACATGTGTGATTACAACTATATTAGAAAACTGCTTTTAAATTAAGTGATGGAATTCTGAGACAGTTTCATTAACTTAAAAAAAAAAAGGCCTAATTTTAATTTTGCAAAAGTTGACTTTTTATGTAAGTAATACCGCTGATGGATAATGAAATAACCATATCATTACAAGCTAAAATTTCAATGACTTTTTCAGAGCACTTCAACAGAGCCAAAAATATACAATGAGTGAATAAACAGCTAAGAACATTTAACTACACACTAAGAAAAGAATTTACATACTTGAGCCAGTAAAATGTCCACTCGCCAAAGAAGTTGGTCCATTTTTCCCACTGCTCACAGGAGGTGAAAACATCTAAAAGAAACAAAGAAATATTACTGTTGAAAAGAAGACATTTGTGCCTTCAGAGTTCATCAAAGATCTTTCATACTCTCACCATATAACTTAAGAGTTTATGCTAAGGGCTCATTTTAATAAAATACATCACCATCCAACTCAGAACTAAAACAGGCACGAAAGCAGCAGCCCCCCTCCTCCCCCATTACCACTCGTCTCTCTTCCCTCAGGTTCATCAGCCCGCCAGGACCACCGCATTTTAAACAGACACCGTCCCCATGTTATCAAGACTCAGTATGAAGGGCAGGAGCCTCTCTAGAAAACGCTAGTGTTACAGAGGAGAAGAAAAAGTTGTTTGTTTTATATTGAAAACCTTGGCCATAAACGTGGCAATGTCCATTTCCATCCCGTATAGGATTTGCCTGTTATATGTGAACCCAAATAAAAATAAAAGTGCCACCTGCACTAAATTCTCATTTCGTCTCTAACATGAGCAATTTGAAGCAAGACTCTCTCCCTCCCTCTCTCTCTCTCACTCTCACTCTCACTCTCTTTCACTCCCTCTCTCTCCAGCATTTATTTCAATCGACCCTAATTGGTTTCCCTCTTCTTCCACGTATCTAGTGGATAATGCGCACCTTCCCTGGGTCAGAGCCTGCAAAAAGCAAAGGAACAAATGGAGAAAGTGCAGCAAGCAGAAAGGGGGCTACAAAGCTGCCTACAGCTATGTTTCCTGGCAAAACTTCCGAAAGCCATTTCTCCAAAAGAAGGTCTAGCAGAGCAGCAGCAGCAGCAGCAGCAGCAGCAGCAGCAGCAGCAGCAACGACATGAAAAGCCCCACTTAGAAGGCGGTTTGGAATTTATTTGTTTTGCGGAATTCTTTTTCTTTTGCTTTGCAAATGCATCTTACACCAAACTCATCTGACATTAAAAATCAATTAATTCCCCTGACATGTCTGAGACTTGGTTTGGGAAAGGGAAGCAAAAGGGTGGAGAAGGACCAAGTACAGCTGTAAAACTCCACAAGTGTGTAAGTTCTTCTTTGTACTAATCTCTTAACTATAAAATTTACAAAAAAAAAAAAACAGTATAGAGTTCTAAGGACTGTATACTCAGTATATACATGAGTATTCAGAATCCCAAGAAATTAGATTAACTAGGAAACTAGAGGTCCTACTAATCCAAAGCATCATCAGTTTAAAACTTTAAGAGACAAGTGGGTCTCCTATTTTCTTTTCCATTTCTAGAAAATAAATAAATAAAATGACTAGTGTGCAAAGTATTAGTACTCTCAGTGTTCAGATAAGGCCAAGTTTTAGGGGTGGTTTGCCATTTTACGAGTGGCTGTTTTTCCTTTCCTTTGGGGCGAGATTCAATTATTTGGGGGGGGGGCAGTTTGTGGATATGGAATTCAAGACAAGTTATTAGACTGTGAAAAAAAACCTGAATCATTCATCATACCCAGAAATTGTAGTTAAAACTTATCAAAAACATCTTCATTTTACCAAGGATTCAGCCAATTAAAAATTATTTCTCTCCTTTAGATTACTATTGGTTTCTAGCTAAGTGTTTGGGGGGTTTTTGTTTTGTTTTGTTTTGTTTTCACAGCTGTTGTTAGTTTCCACCGTTCTTTCTTACCGCACTGAAATCCAGTAAATCACTCAGCTCTTTGTCCGTCCCTAAGGCAGCCATTCGCTGTTGGTGATGCATTTTAGCAAAATCACACAAACCTAGAAACATGGAAATAACCGCAATCAGAAAATCCAGTCCCAATCCTTGGAGAAAACACAATCGGATTTTTGGAGACTGGGGGAGTGGGGAGGGGGAGTTGAGGGTGGGGATGTGGGGGCGGGTGAGATTAAGGTGGAAAGGAGGGAGGGATGGGAGAGTTGTTTTGTTTTGTTTTGTTTTTTTAAAGATGGAATAGGCAGCAATAGCAAAAAAAAAAAAAAAAAAAGCGATATCGACACTATATTTCCAAAGAGACGATCAAAACTGGTAACATCCACTATAAAACCAAATCCGGGAAAGAAAAAAAAAAAAAGCCGCTCTTCAGCGCATCATTTTATGCAACAGGAGGTAGAGCGAGAAATGAATGGATCATAGAGAAAAGAGAAACTACTGAGAACGATCCGGTCTCAACTTTACCCCCACCCTCCATCCCACCCCCTCACACACGCACACACAGGCACACACACTCACACACACCACTCCCCTCTGCATTTCAAAGTAGCTATAAAGAAATTAAAGATGAGCGTCTCCGGAGTGAAAACACGTCCAAAGGGGGAGGGGTGACAGGGTCGGAGAAAGGGGTGGGGGGAGGAGAGCGGAGGGTCCGTCCAGTAATTGTCCAGCACCCTAATTTGTGAAAGAAAGGATTGTAAAAATTAAAGTCAGGCCCTTGGCAAAGTCACCGGTCCCTCCAAGTGGCATTGCTGGGGAGGGTTGGGGGGGGCGAGATGAGGGGGAGGGAAGAGGCGCGGGAGGGGAAGGGGTGTCTCTTCTGGGAGCGCCGGGAGCCGGGAGCCGGCGGCAGGGAAGGCTCGGAACCGCGTGCGGGGCTGCCGAGCCGAGCCCCGCGCAGCCGGCGCATCAGCCCCGCCGAGCCCCGCTGGCGCCGGTACCTACCGCCCGCGCGCGAGAAGGGGCTCTCCGTGCACCGCCGGCGCCGAGGCGGCGTTCATGTCTAACCACTGCCTCCGCCACCACCACCTCCTCCTCCTGCACCCGCTCCTGCGCCTTCCCCGCCGCCGCCGCCGCAGCCGCCACCGCCACTACAGATCCGCAGACACACAGCCAAGATCCCTGACTCTTAACACCAACTCTCTTCTCCGGGGAGGGGAGGGGACGAGGGAAGGGGGGAGGGGGAACACGCCGAGGCGCACGGAATTGCAAGTTCAGCAAAGAAATGGGTGGGGGGGCTCCGGAGGGAGACGCGGCTCGTGCGGGTCGGGCTGGCTGGGATGCACCCCCCCCGAAAAAAATCTCAACACCTCCCCCGCCTCGCCAAAAAAAATACAAACGAAAATTCATCCGAGCACCTCATTTTCCCTCCGATCGTCAGTTATAATCTGAAGCCTGAACAGTTCAGTTTTTGCCCGTTTCAACCATCGGAGGCACTTTGAAATTTATTCGAGTTTACATCCCTCACTTCTTTCTTTCTCTGACTCCTGGGTCCCTCACTCACACATCTACTCATGGCAAAGCAAGTTTCTACGAGGCTGCAAATTACACGTGATGCAAAAAGGATGCCAAGAGGAACAATATTTTTCTTTTCCAGATATAAATCAAGCCACATTTTGCTGGGGAGATTTTCATTTCGGTAGTTTTGTGTTGGGGGCGAAACCTTAATGGCATATTTTCTTTCCCCTCCCTTTTAAGGCACAGAGGAGTATAGCTGCAAACTTCGCCAAAAAAAAAAAAAAAAAAAAAAAAAAGGCAATTTTTGAGGGTGGATGTTGTTTTGTTTTTACACTTGAGTTACTCGGCACGCTAACTCCCGCTCGCCAGCATTATAAGTTTAATTCCACATTCACCATTACAGGCCCTGCATGCTCTGAAAACATACTTTTTTACATCACTTTTTAGGATAAAAACTAAGCTTCATAATTCTATCGTCTCATAATAACAAGCGTGCTTTATCCAGGATATGCAACATACGCGAGTTTAACGTGTGTTAAAATACACAATCTACAAACCCTGTTAATTGCTATATGTGCGAGTACACATACAACATGCACACACTTTTTCCCATTGAGAGTTATTTAATAGGTTGTTCCTTTTGTTTTAATCAAACATTGGGATCGACATTTTAAAAAGTTAAATTCAATTACAAACAGTTTACTCTGACAGCAAATTGTAACGTTACCTTAAATGGCCACAAATATGCTCACAATATTCCAAGGAAAGTGACTTTAAAAAGAGAAACAAAAATCTTCTGCAAGTACTTAGTATCTCACATGTGTATCCCCCAAAAAAGTATTTTAACTGGTACTCAGTTCTGCTCCAGGGATATCCACAGAACACAAGATTATGCACCTGGCTCTGGTTTTTGCATTTTCCACCATAAAATTGCAACAAAATTCCCTCCCCCAAAAAAGAAATCATTAAAAAAAATCCAACAACTTTTTCTTATTGTTTATAAAAAATCAATACAGGATAGTTATAATTTTTCCTCAAATCTTGTTGGTGGGTTTTTTTTTCTTCTCCTCTTTATAAAGTCTTAAACTTGTTCCAAGTTTAGAGGTGTCTCATCATCATCCTCCTCCTCCTCATCATCATCACCATTGACTCCCCCGTGGAGTCACATTGATAATAATAGGTTTCCCTGAAAGATACATTGTAATCCATTCACATCCGGGCACTGCGGGCTTATAAAGAGAAGGCGCTGCGGCCGCGGCTGCTCCTCCAGACAATGACTAGGGAGGGGCGGGGCCAGGGGGGGCGACCATAGAGTGGTAAACAGAGCGCCTAGAGAGGCGCCCAAGATGGCGGTTCTTGCGGGCCACGCCTCCTCCAGGACCCGGGGCGGATGTCGCGCGTGGGACTAAAATGCAAAAGCTCCCCGGGCTGGAGCCGTTAGCAGGCCCAGTGCTTCTGCGCACTTCTTGTTCCCGTTGCTTGGCCTTCCCAGTTTACCAAAGAGTGTGGTTTCTGAATTAACGAATTAAACACAGACTTCCACAAGGAGTCAGCACCCCTGGCTCACCCTGAGGGAGGAGGCTCAGCATCTGCTGAGCTGGCCTCACCAACGGAAAGCCGGTGCCCAGGTTCTCTTGCTGTGAGAAATTGGACCTCTTAGGGAGACTTTAACATCCCGGACAAAGTACCCTGAGCTAAACTGTAGCTCTTGGGCTCGAACAGGGATATGCATCCTCTCCTCCACCATTTACACACTATCTTTCTCTAGGCCACTGACAAGAACTTGGCAGGTCTGGGAAGTCTCCACTTGGAAAAGACCTCTGCTGCGTGGACTCAAACTGAGTTTGGACCATGAACCACTCACTACTGAGTCAACTTCTAGTTCTCACTGAGCAATTACCTTCTCTAGCCTGTTTTCTGTCCGGTGAAAAGCAAACAATGCCCGTTTTAAGAATTTAATAAAAATGAAAAGAATATAGTTAAAGATGGAGTCACCATTCAAGTCTTTCCTTTCCATCTATAATTCCTTGATAGCTCTAATCTAGCTCATGGGATTTTCGATGGCAGTTTCTCTATTCCAGAAGCCTAGATTTTAGTTCTCTCACCAGAGAAAAGCGAGTAATAATAACGCCAGGTAACACTTAGGCCGTTGGTTTAAAATGTCTGGACAGTGGGCTCCGAACACCCTTGTAAGAATTTCACAAATATTAGCTGTTTTAACCCTGAGAATGACTCCTTGGAGTGTGTGTTACTACTGTAATGTACATATAGAAATAAGAAGCAAGTAACTATGAACCTCGAGAAAGCATATACCTGCCGAGAAGGACTCCTTATAGTTAATTTGGCCCAAAACTTCTAGCAGCAGTCGCCAACAGAAGCCTCTCACTCTGCACCTCAGGGAGAGCCACACCCTGAGCTGCTAGCTGCCCTCCTGCCCTGTGCTACTGCAGCCTGAGCCCACTCTTAAGAAGGAGTCCCTGGTATCCTGTTTAAACCAATGGGCTGACACATGCCCTGTCCAATCAGAACCATACATTTACAACTTCATTTGCATCTCCACTGGCCAATCAGAGCAGCTCCATAACAACGAATTAGAATGTGCTATTCTGACCAATCAGGACAGTGCTATTTGGACCAATCAGACTCTGCACATGGATTCCTTCTTTGCTTAAAAGTGTACCAATCAGGGACTAAGGTGGGGACTTTACACAAACTGGGCTTCTGTCTGTCTCCAGTGGAGTGCACTTTCAGTGTCCTGTGGAGGCTGTAGTTCCCAGTTTGCGAATTGTTTATTTGAATAAAGTTTCTTCTCTTTCTGCACCTCCGATTGGGGACCTGTTGGCATTAGATTGGTGGCAGTGACCTTGTGGTGACATATTATTGAGTAGCTTGACCCAGGACAGTTTAAGTGGTAAAAAAAAAAAACAAAAAAAACAAAAAAACAAAAAAAACACCTTACCTAAGTTACACAACTCTGTTAATAGAGCCCACCTTTGAATCTAGGCCATATATGATCCGAGTCAACATTCAACCACATGCCTATACCATCTGGCAGCAGGAATGTCCTAACCCCATTTTCTGATACAATTTTGTGGCAGCAACAATATAGTTCAGATGAATTTTCAAGATCTTTTGTCTATATGTAAGTTTTTAGAGAACAAGAATTAGGGCATTTATAGTTTTTTTCCTGTCTGTTCACACATTAGGAAGACTCCTGTCATCTGTTTTCATTCCACGCTCTCATCTTAAAATAATATTTTTACATTTAGACAGTACTTCATGCTGCATTATCAATCACAAGCATTATCTCTGATTCTCGGAGTAAGCCTCTACAGGCTCTACAGAGATGATCTAATAAAAAGATCACAAATGTTTGTTTAGGAGAAACAGTCCACTGGCTCTACCTCTTTAATCAGCTCTGTGGCCTAAGGCTTGATGTCAGTGTCTTTTACAGTAAAATACAGAGGCTAGATTAAATAATCCCATAAAATTCCTTCTACATTCTAGATTTTAAAATCCCACTGCCCCTGTCCCTTCCCCTGAATTTCAAGGGGAAATAAATGAGCTGTCCAGAAAGCAACGATAGGATCAGGTGTGGGACCTAAATGCACCCAATTTATGGCTAGTGCTTTTTTTTTTTTAACTGCACCCTACAGTAGAAAACCGTAAAACCACTCTTCCTATTTTAAAGGAGTAAATTTGGATTTTTCTTCCCCTGACCTATCAGAAGGATAGGTATACTTATGAAGATTAGAGTCACCCTAAAATCCTGGGAAATTTAGATAAAAAGGAAAATGTAGTAGATATGTTGTTACAAACTATAGACCCCCTTCCTTAGGAACTGGTCCATAAATCCTGATAGCAGAGGTGGAACTTGATGTGGGTGCCATATGACGCCCAGCCCCCAAACCCCAGCACAGGGACTAAAAGAGGAAGACCCTCGCAGCTGTCTGCGCTGAGCGATGGATCTGGCATGTTGGAGTCAGCTGGCCGGAGCTAGTGTCAGGAAACCAATCAGGAGCCATGGTGATGGGGAAACAAAAATCATGCGTGTCATGAGTTAGCAAAGGACACTGCTCTTCAGAGAAAACAGAATGGTCCCAGGAAAGCAGACAATTTAGTCCTAGGAAGAAATGCTTAGGGCACCTTTTCAATTATTGTAGGGACCACCTTACCCCTCGGTCCATAAGATAGCTGATTCCTGCTCTGCTTTCCTTCTCCAACTGAGCTAACCTGAGTACTTTCCTGAGCCTTACACTAAAATGTTTAACAAAAAAAAATTTTTAAAAAGATGTTTTAAATTTCAGCATTTCACAACAGTCCTTAATATATATATATTTTTTTAAAGTGAAGTAATGACCACTAGTTTAGGGGTTAAAAATTTGTTCTACTCCCACATGGTTGAGATTCTGTCCAATTAAATGTGCCACAAATAGTCAGGACAGTATATTGAAGTGCCATTTCCTTTTCTACTGCACTATGACATTGGGCAAGTTTAACAGTTTGCAAGATATAAAATAATTAACATGTCTTCAATACTTTCTGTGACTGGTTAAAATCAGATGAGCTAGCGGAGATGAAAGGACTCTGAAAATGACAAATCCCTACCAAACGTAAGGCATTACTATTACATAAACTGAGCCAATGCCGAAAGATAACATTTCTTTCATAGGAGTGTGGAAGGTGTGGCAGATTTTGAAATCCGGTGAGTCACGGAAAAGAGCAGACACTGAAGGGTCCTTGGACCAAACCTTTCATTTCAGTTGAAGCTGTCGAGGCTCAAGTGGGATGAGTTACCCAAGGTCGCATCACTAAGGAGTTCCGGAGCCAGAAGTAACCCTCCATTAACTGAGTGCCAGTGCAGAATGCCATACCACTCTCCTTCAAACGTCATTCAATTTGTTCTCCTCCAGTCCTGACCATGTTAAAATAAATAAGCAGACAAAACCACACACACACACACAAAATCAGATCTTTGATGATCTAATGAAACTCATCAAAAATTCAGCAAATAATTTTTGAGTGTCCACCTTGTGTCGGCAGCTAATCTCTCAAGACCTAAAGCAAAAATGTAGGCAAAGAAATCAGAATGATATAAATGTCAAGGGCAGTCTTCACTGAATCGCAAAGTCAGAATGAACAAGACACAGGCTGGGAAGATGTTTTTAAGTTGCTATATCAAAAGGGCAGGGCCATCCAGGATCCCAAACTCAAGCCTCACACATAGTGCAACACTGGGTCAGAAAAGCAGCTGAAGCACACGAGGGGAGGCATCCAGTCAGGGTGTGTGTGTAAGAAGTCCAGAGCTTCAGTACACAAAAAGATCCGCATACCTCAGGGCCTTTGCACTGGCTGGTCTCATGACTCTTTCCCTGGCTGTTCACACAGCCGGCTCCTTGTTGTCCTTCTGATCTCAGCTTAAATATCGTCTCCTCCTAGAGACCTTAACCATTCTGTCTACATTAGCACCCATCTTAATATCTTCTGCCTAATTGTCAGCTTTGTATCCTTAGTTGCACCTTTCCCACTTGAGCTATTCATGTTGCTTTATTTGCTTTTTACCGCCTGTCTCACCATCAGAGGGTAAACTCCTTATGTAGGGACTACATGAATCTCGTTCACCCAATATACCCCCACCTAATGCAGTGCCTGGCACATATTGGGTATTCTATTACTACTTGTTAAATAGTTGTGAATGAAGGACTTATCTTCATGCTCAAGGTTCACACTTACACGGAAGTGGACAGCTTTTCAAATCAGTTTCTTTCAAGGCTCCATTTTAGTTTGGTTTCATTGTTTGTAAATAGTGCTGGTGAATGTTCAGTTTGATTTGCAACAGGCCAGTCGCCCCTTATCACCTGAATCCACACATTTACATATTCACAATAAACAAAACAATATAGCAATTGTTTCTCTCAAGCTTGATTCTCCTCTGCATATTTTGAAGATCAAAATTTTACTGATTGAATTCTTCAACCTATTTTTAGTGACAAATTTTATCATATGCTGTTTTAGTCACTTACAGATTGCATTTAGGATGCATACTTCCACCAATAGAATTTAATAAAGATTAATTTTTATATTTACTTCTCAGGTAACTCACAAGAAACTTTTGTGCAGTTCTCCTTAGGTATTCTAGGATTGTACTACCAGAAATTTCCACTCTCATTTCTCCTCTATTTCAGCTGCTTCTGTGCCTGCTTTCTCTTCATATGTATTGTTTGGAATCTTCATCTTTC